CACCAGGCATGGTCGATCACCAGGCATGGTCAATCACCAGGCATGGTCGATCACCAGGCATGGTCGATCGCCAGGGATGGTCGATCACCAGGCATGGTCAATCACCAGGCATGGTCAATCACCAGGCATGGTCGATCACCAGGCATGGTCAATCACCAGGCATGGTCGATCACCAGGCATGGTCGATCACTAGGCATGGTCGATAACTAGGCATGGTCGATCACTAGGCATGGTCGATCACTAGGCATGGTCGATCACCAGGCATGGTCGATCACCAGGCATGGTCGATCACCAGGCACGGTCGATAACTAGGCATAGTCGATCACCAGGCATGGTCAATCACCAGGTAAGGTCGATCACCAGGCATGGTCGATCACCAGGCATGGTCAATCACCAGGCATGGTTGATCACCAGGCATGGTCAATCACCTGGCATGGTCAATCACCTGGCATGGTCAATCACCAGGGATGGTCGATCACCAGGCATGGTCAATCACCAGGCATGGTCGATAACTAGGCATGGTCGATCACTAGGAATGGTCGATCACCAGGCATGGTCGATCACCAGGCATGGTCGATCACCAGGCACGGTCGATAACTAGGCATGGTCAATCACCAGGCATGGTCGATCACCAGGCATGGTCGATCACCAGGCATGGTCAATCACCAGGCATGGTCGATCACCAGGCATGGTCGATCGCCAGGGATGGTCGATCACCAGGCATGGTCAATCACCAGGCATGGTCGATCACCAGGCATGGTCAATCACCAGGCATGGTCGATCACCAGGCATGGTCGATCACTAGGCATGGTCGATCACTAGGCATGGTCGATCACCAGGCATGGTCGATCACCAGGCATGGTCGATCACCAGGCACGGTCGATAACCAGGCATAGTCGATCACCAGGCATGGTCAATCACCAGGTATGGTCGATCACCAGGCATGGTCGATCACCAGGCATGGTCAATCACCAGGCATGGTTGATCACCAGGCATGGTCAATCACCTGGCATGGTCAATCACCTGGCATGGTCGATCACCAGGGATGGTCGATCACCAGGCATGGTCAATTACCAGGCATGGTCGATAACTAGGCATGGTCGATCACTAGGAATGGTCGATCACCAGGCATGGTCGATCACCAGGCATGGTCGATCACCAGGCACGGTCGATAACTAGGCATGGTCGATCACCAGGCATGGTCGATCACCAGGCATGGTCGATCACCAGGCATGGTCGATCACCAGGCATGGTAGATCACTCGGCATGATTGATCACTAGGCAAGGTTGATCGCTAGGTATGGTTGATCATCCATGCATGGATGCTCAACATGCATAGTTGACCACCATGCATGGATGATCAGTGAGCATGGTTGAGTATTGTTGACCAACAGGCAAGGTTGATCACCAGGTATGGATGATCACCAAGCATGGATGATCACCAGGCATTGATGATAACTAGGCATGATCCCTAGGAATGTTCAATCACCAGGAGTGGTTGATCATTAGGCAAGGATGATTACTGTGCATGGATGATTACCCTGCATTGATGATCATCAGGAAAGGTTGGTCACCAAGCATGATTCATCATCAGACACTGTTGATTACCAGGCACTGTTGATCACCCGGAATGATCGCCAGGCATGGAGGATCACTTGGTAAAGATGATCACTAGGGATAGATGGTCACCAGGCATTGTTGATCACCAGGTATGAATGATCACCAGTCTTGGATGGTAATAAGACTTAGTTCATCACCAGATATCGATAATCACTGGTCATAATTGATCACCAGTCAAGGTTGATTACCGGTCGTGGCTGATCACCAGTTATATTTGATCATTTGTTATGATCTCCAGCTTTATGCTTTGTACATCGCCTTGTTATATTATTTTAAATAATAATAATAATAATAATAATAATAATAATAATAATAATAATAATCATCGTCAACATTATATTAATTTCGAAATGCAAAGCGTGGGTTTAATTTCAGGAAGAGAAGAGTAGCTACTAGTTTTTTGACCAATAGCCCTGTACTGGCATGGTGGCACTTCACAAGAAGGTACGTTATGTAGAAGCAACACTGAACAATGCTTGCATGGAGCTCACGTCATCCTGAATTTCACGTAAACTTGAGAAGGAACGTTTGCTAGTACAGTAGGTAAGACTGAAATGCAGGAGTAGGACTATGATTGCTGACTTAGAGCTAAATCTAACAATACTAGCGGAAATGGATTACGATCACTACATGACAGGTGCTCAGAGGCACCAATAAAATGAGTAGACCGTAGATTTAATCTGTAGCTGTGACCGAGAGGATATATATGAAAACTGAGTGCTCAAAATAACCAGATATTTGCTACATGATACATGAAAAGCAGTCAAGTAGATACATGAATGTCTTATAAATAAGATGCAGAATGTAATGCTAAAGACAAGCCAGGGTGACAACACTGACGATTGAAATCCTCCAAAGATGATAAATTAGACACAAGTGCAACTCTTGGGTATCTTTATTGAGGAAACGTTTCGCACACAGTGGCTTCATCAGTCCATACAAAGGAGAATCTTGAAGAACAGGAGGAAAATGAGGTAATCAGTCCCTCAACCTTGAGTCGATGTGGTCAGTCCATCATTCTATTCAAGATTGATGGACTGACCACATCGACTCAAGGTGAGGGACTGATTACCTCATTCTCCTCCTGTTCTTCAAGATTCTCCTTTGTATGGACTGATGAAGCCACTGTGTGGCGAAACGTTTCCTCAATAAAGATACCCAAGAGTTGCACTTGTGTCTAATTTATCAACATGTCGGTTCTCTGAACCATTCATCTACAAATCCTCCAAAGATCAGTACTTCTTAGTTGACTGTTCCTGAGTGCAAGGAGAAATTAAGTCTGTTTCATTGTTTGCGGGTGTAAAGATATTAAGTATAACAACAATTAGAGGGGACTGTTCAGAGGTTCAATATCAACTTGGACAAGTTCCACGGACAGTCAACAGAAGGTGACTCCTGAAGCAAAGTTCAAAAAGATATTAATATTCCTGATATGTGGAGGAGTCATATTCAGGAAAGAAATACAGTCTTGGAGGAGAATTTAGTTTGAAACTGGTATTATGAAAGCTTACTTGAAATATTAAAAAAAATTATTTAGAGTTTCCCCCAAGATTCCATGTGCAAAATGAAATAAATTTTGTTTTAGGGAAACTGAAAAATGTCCTGAGCTATGATAACTGAAGCTTATTATAGCAATAAAACTGGGCAAGACTAATGCTCTCATTATTCATTCCAGAATTTTTAATCGTCCCAATCATTGGCTTCTATAAATTATAACATGTAACTCGATAACTGAACGAAAAATAATAGAATCGTTCTTTATAAAAACTATAATACGGATTACTATTTCGATGTAGTAACAAGTTGTAAAAATCAAAACAGTTTTTGAATGAAATATGATTGAGTCAGTCTTCATAAAAAATAGTGGATCAAAAGGTATATAGACAAATTTTCCTATACCTGACATGTCACTCTTAAATGTCATCTGACAGGTGATATGACCAAAACTTCCGAATATATCTACGACTCTCAGTGAGTGAAGTTATATGTGAGGTTACATATCTTCTATAAGTTTTCTCTTGGTTTGTGTGTGTGTATGTGTATTATATATATATATATATATATAATATATATATATATATATATATATATATATATATATATATATATATATATATATATATATATATATTAAATTATTGTAGAGAGAGAATTTCTACTGGAGCTTGTTATTGCACATACGCAATAAACGAATCTTTATACAAAAGAGTTTGGAAAGTTATATTGCCTGTTTTGACAGTAAGATCGAATCTTTTTGATATTTAACCCGTAAACGGTCCAAGCAGATCTACGTTCACATGTGTAGTGCTACAAAAGTAGATCTAAGTTTTTTTACACATTTTCAAATGTAGAAAAACAAGAAGATGATCTACTTGTTTTACATACTTTCAAATGTTGAAAAAACGTATATATACGTTTGGACCGTTTACAGATTTTAAAGAATGAAAAAAAAAACTACTGTTCTACAACATATTTATAATACTATTGTACTTATTTGCTTGCCGTAATCCGATAACTTTCTTACATTAAATTAGATTTTCTCGCACTACACTTAATTATATTTTGTTTTCTTAATAGCAGTGATATTAGCGTTCGCTGACTTATGGCGGAATGTCGCTTTGTGATTCACAGGGCAATAGAAGCGCTTGTTCAGCGTTTTAATATGATAATTGGCTTACGTAATTAATTCAATACCATCATTACTAATTTTCAGTTATGCTAAACAGTTTGCTACTATACCACTTTGCTGCTGTGATGAGCTGTAGTAATCACAATATAATCAAAACAATTGCAGATCCGTTAGTCACAGTCCAAACAACATCCTTAATGAGTTAAAAGTCATAGGATGTTGGTCACAGCAACAGTTGGACGAAAAGGGGGATTCTTCCCTCTTTTGAGGCTGAAAAATAGATTGCTGTGGTTTTAATGAGGTTCTGAGGCCTCTCAGACTACAGTAAAGTGATCCAGGGTCCGGAGAGATGGAGAAAGTCGAGAGAGAAACGTCATGGTAAGATGCGATGATGTTGCAGCATCCTTACTGCACTCCTGGTAAAAGACTGACATGTTTTTTTTATTTTGCAGGTCATCGCCAAACCCGCATGGGTCATACAGCGCCAGAGGTGTGGGGGAAAATAGCTTCAATTCCTCAAATCCAGAGCCCTTCACCGATCAATAGGTGTAGCGTTCCTGAACAGGTAGAGTCTTGGAGGATCAATCAGTGATTATCGTTTCCATTGTGTTAATTTTTTAGTGGATATCAAATTACACGATATTTTTGATAGATGATTTCAAAAGATTACAATTGCGGGAAATAAAGCGATGACTTCTCTTAACAAAAATGAATTTGATAGTGTTGCAGGACTTTATTTTTCATGTCTTACCTGTATTCACACATACTCGGAGGCTTCTCCGTTGACCAAGGGCTGGACGGCTTGGTCAGACGTCCCGCTGTTGGAGTGGGTAGGCACCTCCACGAACGTTGTCATGGGGTGGGTTTCCACGGTTGCTGGTGTTATCGCCTTGGTTGGGCTCTCTTGGGTAGTGGAAAGTCGACGATTGATAGACCTGATAGAACCTCCACCGCCTCCGCCTGTTCCGGGCTGCAGAAGGGTCTCCTGCTGTGTGTCGTTCCCATTACAGGTTCTCTCCGATCGCCACTGACCAACACGGTCTCTAGAAGGGTTTTGCTGGAAGCAAGGTAACACCAACTGAAATTCCTTGCGGAAATTTTCGTTGAGCCAAGCGTAGAGGAAGGGGTTATAACATGTGGAAGACATGGCTACCACGTGCGTGATAAAGAAGCATAGGTTATAATAGCTCCACTCGCTGGCTGGTGCGTAGTAGTCGCCTACCAAGTGCACCACGTTCACAGGGAGCCACGAAGTGCCGAAGATCGTTACCATCGCTATAAGCATTCGGTTTGTCCGACGCTTCCTCTCTCTGTCTGCCTCTTCCTTTCTTGAGCTCTTGGTGCCCGGCTTGGCCCTGACTCGCTCGTTCATGCGGATTGAGATCTTGACGTAGCAATAGAGAATAATGATAAAAGGAACAACAAACTGCATAATAGCCGTGAACCCGCTAAACACCTGCCTGATGGACTCTGAAGGCCAGAGTTCCTCGCAGTAATATCGGTCTTGATATTCTACTTGATTGACATAGAGCGCGTAAGGCAGCGTCGCCGAAATAGAGAAGAGCCAGATGCTGACGATGATCAGGTAGCAGATCGAGAGACGGAGGCGCGGCCGAAATGGGTAGATTATCACAAAGAACCTGTCGATGGCGATAGACATGAGTGTTAGAGTAGAAACGTAGACGCTGGTGCCCTGGGCCATCGTAACCAGGTGACACAACACACCTCCGAACATCCACTGACCCATGAATGTGTAGAGCGGCGTGAAGGGTACTGCCAACACACACAGCAGGATGTCTGCTAGTGCCAGGTTGGTGATGAAGTAGTTGGTCACGTTCTGCATGTGCTTGTTACGGAACACGACGTAGCACACTAAACAATTCCCAAAGACCCCCAGCAGGAAGATGGTCAGGTACTCGATGTAAAATATGGCCTGCGTGGTGGGGTAGGAGAGAATGTTGTAAGTTTTGGCAGTGGTGTTAGTCCAGGGTAGTGTCGCATTATCGTCGAGTGTGGAGTTTATGTCCAGGTGTGAGTCTGAGGCTGCCCACGTGTTGTTGATGATCTCACTGACGGTGTCGGGGCTGGGCCAGCTGGCCCAATCTGGCCTCATCCCGCCCCGCGACCACGAGCTGTTACTGCCCATGACAAGCACAAACACTAAGATGTTTACATGTTCCAAATATATAATGTTCTGGCCGATATATTTAGCCAAATTTCACTGCACGTTGATGGAGAACCATCACGCTAGTCTTCCCTGGCTAGCCCATGCAACAGGTGTTCCTGATATCTCAGGCTGAAGAAATAGACTGTCATGCGTGCATAATAGGCACTGGCACAGTGCCTGAGTCATGCCCACACTGCCACTCAACATAGGAAGTTATTTTATATATATAGTTAACTTGACGCCACCAGCGTTGTGTTGGGGAAGAGAAAGAGGGAGCGAGAGAAGACGCGTGCTACACCCAACACGTCCAGCTGGCGACTGAAGTGCCCCGCGCCTCCGCCAGGCTCCCTCACTGCCGCCAGGCTTCACTGCCGCCGCCGACAGGCTTCACTGCCGCCACCGCCAGGCTTCACCGCGGCAATCAGACTTTACCACCACTTGCCAGACTTCCCAGTACCACAACCATAACTAGATGCATTTCGGTCGCTGCGCTGCAATGGGAACGGACACCTCTCCATGGATTCGCGAGCAGAGGTACAGAGGAACTGTGTAAATCAACAGCAGCAATCTTCAACAAGTAAAATAACTGCCAGATGTATGGAAAACAGCGAATGTAGTAGCTATAATTAAAAAGGAGACAAAGAGGTGGCACTGAACTACAGGTCAGTGTCTCTAACACTCATAGTCGGTAAAATTATTGAGGTTATCAGGAGACGATCAGTGGAGCACCTGGAAAGGAGTGCATTCATAAACAACAACCCACACGGTTTTCGATATCGTAAATCCTGTCACAAATCTGCTAGCGTTTTATGGCAGGAGAGAGAAGGATGGATGGACTGTATATTTTTGAAGTGCAAGTCGTTCGTTACAGTACTCCAAAAGAATCTCGGACAAAAGCTAGAGTAAACAGGAATAACAAGGAAATCATTACAGTAAATCAAGGAATATTTAAAAAGTATTTATTGCCCAGGAAGAAGTGTAGAAAAGGGCTAGGGTGAGGAATGGGGTTCCACAATGGTTAGTACTGGACCAGTACTATTTCTTCTGTATATAAACAACATGACAGAGGAAATCGAGATAGAGGTGTACCTGTTTGCACATGATGCAGAATTAATGAGGAAAATACGAACAAGAGTAGACCAGGAAAGACTAGACATGTACCTGGACAAACTACAGGATTGGTCAGACAAATGGCTATTGGAATTTAACCCCAGTAAATACGAAATATTTAAAATCAGGGAAGAAAAAAAAGAAGGTTACTGGAAACAGTACAAGTTATGGGGGACGAAGGTCGTAAACTTTTCTAATAGAGAAGGATCTTGGAGTGAGCATAACCCCAAGCATTTCGGCGGAAGTATACATCAACTGCTGTGGAAAACGCAAGGCTGATGAATTTAGGACAGCTTTCAAAAACCTCACTTAGGTGGTTCCTAAAAGATCCTTCATGTTAGCCTATCTTGGAGTAAGTAGCACCAGTATGGAACCTGTATCTGATAAAAATGTAAAGATGAAAAAAGTGCAAAGTTTTATAAAGAAACTAGACCCTGAGCCGAGGTAAATGAACTATGAGAAGGGGCTAGGGAAGTTAAATATTAGAGGACAGAAGTACCAGAGGTGCCATGATTACGACGTTCAAAATTCTGAGAGGGGTAGACCGGGGTAGTCTCTTTAAGAGGCGGTTCTCAACTACACGAGGACACAGCTGTTAAAACAAAGATGGGATCAAGAGCTAAGCTGAGACTCTGCTCTTGCAACCAAAATTAGGTGAGTACAGACACACGGGGCCAGGAGGTATGAATCAACCCCAGCAATCCAATAGGTGAGTGTACCACACACACACACACACACACACACACACACAAACACACACCACACACACCACACACACCCCACCCTAAACACACACACACATCCCTGCAACCACTATTAGGTGAGTACACACACACACACATGTACATACACATACATACATACATTCGCGCACACACACACACACACACACACACACACACACACACACACACACACACACACACACACAGAGGGATGTTAGGAAGTATTTCTTCAGCCAGACAGTAGTCAGGAAGTGGAATAGTTCGGGAAGCGATGTAGGGGAGGCAAGATCCATACATAGCTTTAAGCAGAGGTATGATAAAGCTCACGGTTCAGGGAGAGTGACCTAGTAGCGACCAGTGAAGAGGCGGGGCCAGAAGCTAGGACTCGACCCCTGCAACCTCAACTAGGTGAGTACAACTAGGTGAGTACGTACACACACACACACACACACACACACACACACACAGGATAGAAAACAACCAAACTAAAACAAGTAGAAAAAGAGAGAATTAGTGAGAAAAACTCATATTAGTTTTTTCTCCTTAGAATAATTGGAGTCATTTTAGAAATACTAGAATTAGAATTGAGAAAAAACATGGTTATATTCAAAGTAAAAATAAACTATAAAACAATTATTATAAGCATGGTTCTATTTGCCTGTTACTACTCTTTCTGGAGAACAGAGGAAGAAACAAAGGAGAAGTAGCAAAATTACTTAAATAAATCATTCAAACTACATTATAGAAATTGAAATGCCCAACTCGAATTAATTTTGAAATTTTAGATACAAAAATACCAGTAAAAATAAAAAACTCACAAGAATTAATGAATCCAACTCAGTGTTTAATATTACTTGGGAGAAGGAAGAGTTTAGCAAGATGAATGAGGAATTACATCTATTCACTGCTAAGGGAATTACTGTGAAGAGGAATGTGGAGAAAAAAGTTATTGTAGTTGGTGATATTAACTATAAAGAAATAAAATGAGCAACTTTTGAAGCTTCTCACTTTATTTTTTTTTTACATCTCTTCTCTGATACAATCCCCTTTTCTTTTCTCTAAGGATAAAGCTCTGTATCTCCAAAGATGCGTTAACGCACCACCCATGTTTTTTCCAACGGTGTTTTCTATCGTTGACTTCGTCTTTCACAGACTCATCTACCGACACATCCACCTCTAACCATCTAAACACATTTGCTTCCTCCATATTCCCTCTCTTCAATTTTTCAATTCTTGGATTTTAAAAGATTGCTTATCAGAGGAATAATGGAGGAAGTAAATGATCTAAGATATTTCTAAATTATGAGTTCTGATCGCCATTTATAATGGTGAACAGAATAATTTATAATGGTGAACAGAATAATTTATAGTGGTAAACAGAATAATTTATAGTGGTAAACAGAATAATTTATAATGGTGAACAGAAAATCTAATATTCAAATATCTTAATTCATTTACTTCCTCTGACACCCAATAATTTAAAATCCAGGAAACGAAGCATTGGAAAGAGGGAATATTTAGGAAGCAAATGTATTGAGATGTTTAGAGGTGGATTTATCGGTAGAAGGGTATATGCAAGACGAAGTATACGATAGAAAAGATGGACGGAAAAATATGGGCGGTGCGTTAACTCATCTTTCGAGATAAAGAGCTTTATCCATAGAGACAAGAAAAGGAGGCAAGAAAAGGGGAATGTATCAGAGAAGAGTTAAGAACTGAGAATGTCTTATTGTCAACTCTACCTTCGTTTTCTACAGTAGTGTGCATGTTAATTGTGACAGTGATAAAATAAGACATTTGGAAAATCAATGTTTATCTGAAAAACAAACGGGAATGATATGACAGATAAATTTCATAAGTGATATCACTACCCTTTGCTTTTATGAACATTGCTACACGCTTTGGCATAGAATCGACCAATGTTGTCCATATTTTGGCAAGTTCTTCGTCGTGGTACTCGGTCCTAATAACAGAAGCAATTAGCTTCTCCACAGTTAAACAGTCCTGTTTCGCGATCCTGGGTTTGGTTATTGCCCATAGATTCTCAATTGAGTTAAAGTCAGGAGAGTGTTCAGACCAGTTTAGAACGCTTAGCTCACTCTCTTCAAAGAATGTTATCATTTTTCTGAAAGTGTGGCAGAGCCAAGATCCTGCAGGAAAATACCGACTCATGAAAGTCTGTATCCACAATGGGAAGCAAATGAGTTGCCAGGATTTCATTGTATTTCTCACTGCTTATTCTTCCTTCAACAATAACAAGCCGTCCAGGGCCTTTAGTAGTAAACCTATCCGACAACATCTTACGTGGGTGTTTTGGCGCTTGTTGAATGTCTCCATTCCGAAGAGGTTCGTTCTTGCTCCGACTCACTACCACTGATCTGTACCCATATACTTCAAAATGTGCCTCAGTTTGAAAATATAACTTTTCTCCACTCGTCTGTCGTCCATTCCTTATGCTCGAGTGCCCACTGCAACCGTTTTTTCGTCATAACAGCAGTCAATAACTTTCTTTATCGGCTTTCTGGCAAGTCTGCCAACTTCAAAGAGCCTTTGTCGAACAGTTGAAGAATCAACATTTACGACAGGTGAGGCTCATGAGTGTCCCAAACGAGGTCTTCCTCTGTTACTATCACCTCTGAATTCACATCAAATGCTGTGTCATTAGACTCCGTTTCCAAGAAGAAATGTGAAACAAGAAATAGAATGGCAAAAAGGATACAAACAGGATGTTGTATGATTAATTCATTCCATTTCTTGGAAATGATACGTAATGGAAAGACGATCAGGTCAAAATGTAAGGTGTGCTTTCGTGAAATTAATGAAGCTATGAATTATTCTTACAGTGGGCATATGACAATGGCAGACGATGTGACATAGGATGGCATGAAATCATTGAAACAAGATGCATTCCTTTAAAAAGTAATGCTTACAGTACACTGGTTCACGCATATGAAGCTCAACATCTCTAGTTTGTTCTGTTAGATTAATATCTCTGAATCAAGGTTTAACATTCCATTGAATATGAGATGGTGTCCTTCTAAATTGACTTGTCTATTGATTTGCATAATGAAAGTATGCAAATTATACTGTCTACAAACTCTCGGTCATTCCGATCACTTGCATAAATGCTAGCTTGTTATCATATAGCAGCATACCGTGAAACTGAACCTGACTTTGCCTTTGGAGCCTTCAGTTCTGTTGCATCTGCTTAAAATTATCAGGATACAACCGTTTTGTCGATAAATGCTTGTCACAGTTGCTGAGATCATCATGGAAATTGATACACAAAACCTGCCTTTTTTCATTACAATGGCTCAGTGACCAGTGCTCAGAGAGGAAATATATTACTGCTCGCTTCTTAAGTAAAGAAACAAAGACGATCACTATTTCTGGGAGATAGTCATTCAGTTAGTGAGGTGCCGAAGGATTGCTTGATGCTATTCTGATTAACCTGAACAACTTTTGTATCGGGGAAGTGGCACAGAAGGAAATGACATGGTTGGCAGCTGATAGAGAAAGTGCTAAGACTGGTAAGAAAAAGTCTCTGGCAGTGGCGTAAACACTGATTACCCTGCAAAAATTCTTCCCTTCAGAATTAAAAGGAGTTACATAAAATTTAACTATTTATCATTCTATATTTCTATTTGTATTTCTGTGAATTCTGTGGATTTTCAATATGTTCGTCTTCCCGATACCGGTCAACATGATGTAAGACAAACAATTAATTTAAATTGCATTAGCTCAAATTTTTCCGTCTATGTAAGGATTCGGATCAATTTAATATGCTGTGAAGATAGAATTTCCCCTCTGTATTATTTCTTGCCATCACAGAAAAGGAATTCCCTTTGCCAGAGATTTGGTCAGTGAGAGCTGAGCGTCCTCCAGGTTGTCCGTCACTATCCACTACAACTGTCCACCTCACCATTACCCACTGTAAATGCCCAACTCACCACTACCCATTACAACTACCCATCTTTCTCTATTTTTCCCTAATGGTTCCTTAAAACAACATTACAGAAATCTGACACGGTACTTAATCTGTTATTATCAGA